TAAGTGTAGTGAAGACAAGCACTTAGATTGTAAGCCTTGTGGGGCAGGGCCCATCTTTTCACTGGGTGTGTGTTCAGTGACTGATGGCATGGAGCCCTAATCCCAAATGGGGCTTCTGTGCACCACCACAAAGTCACCGAGCTAGATCCTCAGCCAGCGCAAATCAGCATCACTCTCCTGAAGCCAATAGAGCTGTGTGATTTATACCAGAGGGAGGTCTGGCCCACTTTTCCTTTGGCAGCTGGTAGCAGGGGCTTCTGGAACCACCTCGCCAACAGCATCCCGCTGGAGCCAGGTCTTGTATGTGCTGTCTCTATTGCCCCGATGTTGTGTTTACGCCAGCCCCTACCTTCTCCAGTCTATGCTTCTTGCCAAGCACATTATAAATCTTTCTGATGGAAAATTGCTTTCTTTTATTGCGCGCCTCGCCATTCAAGGTAATTGGCATCTGTTCATGTGTCTTGGAGTTTCTATTTTTATCAGCTGCTCACATATCCACATGTAGCCACTCTGCCTCATTATCCTAGTCAATTTCAGACCTGGTGTTTTGTTGTTGTTGTTGTTAGTATGTAGATGAGAGATGTGGAGGCAATGACGAACAAGGCTATTCCCTCTTCAGCCAGCCTCCTAGCACCAGTCTTCCTGCTGGTGCCTTGAACTAGCCACAATCCCTTGGCTCCCTGCGTCACCAGCAGAGGAGAGGGTGAGTGTGCAAACAGGTCCCAGCACCAGTAACGTTCCTCAGCCACCTGGTCCATGACGTTGCTTACCTGAGTAACCACGTCCTTCCCCTCAAGACATGAATTTACGTTACTCTAGATCTGTTACGAGACAACCAAAGAATATTGTCCCAGGCTTAGTACACAGGGAACCATTCCGTCTTCTCCTTGGCAAAATGCATAATCACACGTGTTGTATCCTCTCCACTCCCGAGAGGGGGGCTGCGGGGAGAGCTGAGAGTGCACCGTCACGGCTCTGGCCTGGTGACCATAGGCCTAGTTGCCTAGTATCTGCATATTCAGTTTAATGCAGGGGTTCTCAACCTTTTCCTTTCTGAGGCCCCCCAACAGGCTATAAATCTCCGTGGCCCCCCTGTGCCACGACAACTGGTTTGCTGCAGATAAAAGCCAGGACTGGCATTAGCGGGTGGCAAGCAGGGCAATTGCCTGGGGCCCCACGCCACAGGGGCCCCCGCTTCAGCCTCTGATGGTGGGGATCAGTGCCCCGGACTTCAGCCCCATGTGGTGGGGCTTCGGCTTTCTGCCCTGGGCCCCAACAAGTCTAACATGGGCCCTGCTTGGTGGACCCCCAGAAACTTGTTTGCGGCCCCCTCCCCCCGGGGCCCATAGTTGAGAACCACCGGTTTAATAGATGCTTGCAGGAGACAGAGGATGGGGAAAGAAGAGAGAATATGAAAAGGTGAAATGCAGCTTATTCTCTGCTAAACAGACCTTGGTGTGCATGATTGTGTTTTCCAGGCTTGGGATAGAAACATATGGGCACCTCTGAGATTTAGACAGCTGTCTCCCAGCCCATCAATAATAGCTCCAAACAGATGTTCCTTAAGAGATGCTTAGATCCTACTCCATCAGTGGTGCCAACTCTCGTCACTTTATTTCTAACGTTACTTGGTGTTTTTTTCTTAAACCCCCAGCTCCTGGAGTCACGTGATTGTGAGTCTCAGCTTCCAATTAAAAAAATGTTTCTAGCCAATCTCTTGAGCCCTCAGGGTGGGCAATACAGCTGCACCTACAATCAAAACTCCATGTCACTATGTAAAGCCTCAGCTGGTAGGGGGCCTATGTGCCTGAGAATCGCCCTTTTGATGAACTTCCACTTTCTGGTTGTCTTGTTTAGGGGGAAATTGAAAAATACATTTTTAAATTCCTGTTAGTTTTATCAAGTGGCCAAACCCTGGGTGTTTTTTTTTTTTTAAGAGTTAATATCAGCTAACAGAATTTTCTCTCCGGGGTTCTGTGTTTAAATGGTCATACTTAGCAAATTGACAGGAAATAAGCCGAACTTTGTCAATATCATTAAGTTACGCATGCCCAGGATGTGTTAATAATAGAGTTTTCATGCAGCTGCTTTGCTGGAAATCTCTTTGCTAATGTGAGGTACTGTGGAAGTAAATAGGCTCCCCATTGGAATGAATTCAGCGAGTGTATAACATTTCACGTTGCAGAGAGATGCCCTATTTATCCACCGAATGGGTACAGCATAGACAGCAGCAGCATCAACGTCCCTCACTCAGCTTTGCCATTGTGTCTCAGTACTGTTAGTGGGAGGACTGACTAGGTAGTTCAGCCTGTCAGTCTCTTTCAGTCATTGCTGGGAAGGATGCTGGCTGAGTGCGACCATTAACTCATAAAGTCACTGAACAGCCATGCAGAGGTTCTGACGTCAGCTGGGCTTGAACTGGTGACAAGGGAAAGTTCTTGTCGTGGGGAAGGGCTCGACCAGGCCTTCTGGACCACTCCCCAGACTGTTGTCAGGGGATCCAGGTGCTGGATCCTGTGTGCTGTAAGTCTCCAGAGCCAGAATAGGCACAATGCCTGGGCGCCATCTTAGCACCGCTGGGCCCACTCGAGAGCGCAGCCCATGTGACCGCTGCCCAGGCCTTGGCTTCTCAAGTTCCCCCATAGCTTAAACCCACCCTCTCCTTGAGCTCCTGCCAATGGTGTGAGCCTGCTGGGTTACAGTTTAACACATACAGACTTTGCACGGGACTAGAACCCAGCATTGCTCTTTCTTTAATAGCACGAGAAACGCACAGATCTATGCACAAGTAATCAACCCTACACCTATTTCCCTGCCTCAGTTTCCTCACCACTCCAGGGCCTTCTTTGGGTAGGGGTCAGGGTCATCCGAGGCTATCTAGGTCTGTCTGCTCCATGTCGTGAATTCTGAGACATGGGATCTTCTTGGCAGGATGGAGATCCGCTGACCTGGTCCAATCTGTCCTTTCCCCTCTCCTGCCTGAAATTCCTGTGTGTCATTGTGCGTCTTCCCCTGACCCACCTAGTCTCTTTGGGTTTTAAGGGCTGGCATTGACACCTTGGTGTTTGTCTTCTGCTTGGTGACTTTCCACTCTCCAAACCTGGGACCCTTGTTGAGGAAAGATGGAGAAAACTTATACCCCACCCTCCTTAGCATACCTATTGTTTGATTAGAGCCCAGTCATTAAGGGTGACAACTCTCCATTGTCCCTTGCCTGGGGAAGATGAGATGCAGACCTTGCCAGCCCCTGGTGGGTTCCACGCTCACACAGAAGCATTTAGCCATACGGCAGTTTTCCGAGTAACACCTTCATCATGTCAACCAGCATTTGTGACTTTTACAGACAGATCCTTCAAATCATCACCGCTCTGAACATCATTTCCAGACCTCAGAGCCAGCCCGCGCCTGGGAACTGTGGCCTGGGAATCGTTTCCTATTGGAATTTGAAGGTTGATGCTAAAAACCCCATGAATGTTTTATATAAATTGTAGCAAGGGCAGGTATTGTCTTGTTCTGACAGTGTACAGAGCCTGGCACGATGACCCTTGATCCCCGACTGGCGCCTCTGGGTGCTGCTGCAATAGAAAATAATGTTCTTCTTTAGTCCAAGGAACTCAAAGCACTTTAGAAGCATTTGTGCATTAGCCCTCGCACAGTCTGGTAAGGGAAGTATTAATTCCATGTTTCACATGGGCTAACACAGAGGCACAGTTTGGCTAAGTGACTTGTCTAGGATCACACAAGAACCAGGAATTGAACCCTTCTGTCCACAAGCCCCTCCTTCCTCTCTGCCCCTGTGCTGTGGTAGAAGCCATATCGTTAAGTGTATTTGCCTGCAGTGAGAGCGCTGCGGAAGGCTGTGCACAGCTGAAAAGGACCGCATGACAATTGAGCAACAAAAATAGGACTTGGGGGGGGAGGAAGGCAAGAAAAGGAATGGGATCTTCACACGCGCTGCTCATCAAAACCCAGAGGGAGTCAGCTCTGAAGCTTCAGATTAAGAGAAAAAGAGGTATGACAAGCAAAGGCATCAAAAGATCTCGAAACCATCAGTGAGCACTTTCTTTGGAGGTTTAGCTAGTCAGCAGAGAAGAAATGTGACAATGGCATTTAAGACAACTGGTATGAAGGAACCTGGTGCAAACAGACAGCTCTTAAAGTCAGCATGTTGGCAGATGGGGTAGCGCTGAACAGGGAGGGAGGCCATTTATCTGTCTGTTGCCGGGGGGGTGGGGGGTGTTTAATGTTTTGAGATTGAAGAAGAAGCAGGTACTTTTTAACTTGCCGTGTCATGGCACAAGATGCATTGGAAAGAAATTCCTGTTTGTTTAGTGGCCTTCCTCTATGTCAGCCTTCACCTTATGCTGCAAGACGGGGAGAAACAGGGCCAGATCCTCAACTGGCATAAATTGGTGATGCACAACGTAAACCCATGGAACTCCTGGTTTGCATTAGCTGAGTATCTGGCCCAGAAAGTTTTGCTAACTGACATGATGTACTAAGCCTTAAAGGTAGCAAAAATACTCATAGATTCAAAGATTTTAGGACCAGAAGGGACCATTAGATCATCTCGTCTGACATCCTGTATATCACAGGCCGCTGACTTCCATCCAGGTACCCCAGTTTCGAGCACAGTACCTTCTAGTTGGCTAAAGCATCTTCCAGAAAAGCGTCCATTCTCAATTTGAAGACAGGAGATGGAGAATCCTCCCACTTCCCTTGGTAGTTTGTTCCAATGGTTAATCACCCTCACTGCTAAAAATTTGTGCCTTATTGAATTTGAAGTTGTCTAGCGTTAACATCCAGCCATTGGTTCTTGTGATGACTTTCTGCAGTAGATTAAAGAGCCCCTTAGCAGCTGGCATTTTCTCCCCAGGAAGGTCCTTGTGCACTGCAATCAAGTCACCTATGCTATAGAAACCAGTCAGCTTAAAATGAAAAAACTCAGAGGAAAAGACTCCAAATGGCTTAACCCTTGTCTTTCTTGTTTTCTCTTTCAGTTACAGAGAAGGAGGTGCAGCAGTGGTGAGTTTCCAGCCCCGTGTTTCTGATTCTTGTGAGCTCCCGAGTGGTGTGTGCATGCAGCTGTTGAGTGACAAGTCAGTTCTCTCTGCTGCGTTGAGTGTGTGCATCTTGGCTCACCGTATGCACGTGTTTGCCTCCGTTTCTTTTCAGAGTTGTATTGCCTGGGAAGCTGGCTAAACTGAGATGCAAAGGCAGGCGTCATGAGACAAAAGACTCATACACAAGTCATTTCAGGGTGTGGCTCCTGTTCCCAACAGTCTTTCCCATAATCCATTTCTGCCTCGTTCAGGCACCAGGCTCTGCATGCAGCTACTTGGATGCCTGGTTCTTCCGTACTGAGTATTAGTTCCTCACCTGCTCTTTGAACTCCACTGGACAGGAAGTGTTTTCATGACTCAGGACCACCCTTGGGGTTCAGCTGCACTGCAATCCAAAGTGTGTTTGCAGCTCAGGAGGACATAACACTGATAAAAATAATAGTGTAGATGTGATGACGCTGGCTTCATCAATCAAATATGTACCCAGAGGGTCAAGCTGTCCTGCAGTGGTTCAACACCAACCTCAGGGCAGACCATTAAGAAGCAGAGCACAAACACAAAATTGGCTGCGAGTTCTCTACTTAGATTTCACCAACCAAGCATCAAGTGTAAACTCCTCAGGCCCTCTAACAGCCTAACCATGGAGTCACAGACAGTCCTCTTGGGTACTGCGGTCTATCTTGTCACCTAGGCTAGCTTGCCTTTGTGATAGATGGTCCCTTACACCAAAAATCACAACATTCAGGTTACTCCCAGTCCCAAGGACCAGTCACTTACCTCAGGTCAATTGCACCTTCGATCTCACACTAAAGACAAGATTTGTAGCCAGTCCTGTAACAAATTATCTAAAGGTTTACTAACTAGGAAAAGGAAATGAATGTTATTTACAAGAATAAGGCTGGTAAACATATATATGCACAAATTAGGATAAGCTAGCTCTACGTGTCCTTTAGGGCTAACGCAGGCCAAACACTGGGGATCTTCTGTTTATGCTTAGTAATCCTTGCCCCCCAGAGTCCAAGCAGCATAAAAGATACAGTTTCTCTTGTTAGGGCTTATTATTCCTTCCCCGCTTCTGCTTCCAGTTGCTAATTCTGTGGGGAAGAATTCACTTGCATGTCTTCTCTTCCTGGGGTTGGGGAGAGTCTTTTGTCCTCTGACATTCCACAAAAGTTCATCTGGTGTTGATGGGCCTTCCTTTGTTGGGCAGGAGATAACACCTCCTGGTGGAGACTAGTACTTCATGAGGATTAATGTCTCTTTCCTCTCCGGTAGTATGCATCGTTACAGAGGGTTACAATGCAAATGTTTCAATATTACCTTACAATATGGGAGACAGGTGTTGTAAGGGAGATTATTGCCTGCAGCAACTTACACTAAGCACATTTTTGTAGCTCTGATACCTGTTCTAACAATACTAACATGCAGGTGAGCCAGACTAATTCCAGTCTGTGTTTGTCGGTATCCAAATGAGGCATGGGCACCTTGGCATAAGCTGGCACCTGGTTTGCCAGCATCACACTGGATTCTACAGCCTACGCTGAGCTCCACGCCACTGCACCTACAGTGCCATTTTTATCAGCGGTAGCTAGCGCGGGTACGTCTGACTGAGCTGCAGTCACGTTGGATTGCAATATAGGCCTACCTCGGGCTGCAGCAGGCAGGCACTATGGGGCAGGCTGCCCGGCACAATGATCTTTTGCTCCGCTGCAGAACCAAATGTGATGGCAACGTTAGACAGGGTTGGTAGCAGAAGGGGGGGGGGTGGTCTCAGTTTGCAGAGCCCCACCCACTCTCTCCTCCCCTCCCTGTCAGGTTGCATGCGATGCATTGTGACATAAAGCCCTGAAGATCTTGGGGCTCGGGGAGATTCAGAGTCTTCCTAAGAACGATCTACATGGCTTAATAGCTGGATAATGCTGCATGTTAGGCAGCTTCAAAACTCCCAGAGAGCGGCATAACTAATGGAGTGGCTTAAAAAAAAGCGACAACCCGTGTTTGCAGGTTTTCTCTGCTGTGGTTTTCCGGATAAATGAGCTTTGCCTCCAAAGTAAGTGCTGACATTGATGCTGGTACGCGCTCACCTCTGCATTCGAACAAGTGCTGAAACCTTTCTGAGCCTGCCCGGGCGTGAGAGACAGTGACAAATGTGAAGGGAGAGCAAGCGGTTCTTAACACCGCTGAAGGGCTCCCCTGCGGTGCAGCCATAAATCCCATGCCCGCTGTGCTCGTTCTGCACACCGTGTTCCAGCACACGTGGTGGGCGGCAATGCTCCTGCCTTTCCACCTCCACTCGCAGCACGTGCAAGAGCCCATCGCTCTTGGCTCCGGGTAAAGGTGAAAAACCAAATTCCATCTGCTCCCAGCAGAAGGAAGAAATGGAACGAAGCGATCAGCGAAAAACTCAGCTTGCCAAGCCCTGTCTTAGCACCGTCTCTAGCTTTGATGGGTTAGCTCCGGCATGGAATAAATACACAGGCACTGAGTCTCCAGCAGCAATCAGAAACTATCCCATCAAAGCCAGAGATGGTGTAGATGGGTGTAAAAGCAGAACAAGCCAGAACAGAATCAGGTCCATTGCCTTGGCATTTCTTTAAATGCCTGTAACATGTTGGTTATGGCAGCTGGCTCATCAGAAGACTATCTTGAAAACCCACCTAAATTACGCAATGCAGCCTGACTGGTGTGTGCGGCATGCTGAATTTGGTCCAGCAAGGAAAAGAGCTTTTCTTGTCCTCTTAAAGACAGCGCCGTGTGCAGATATCCCACCCTCTTCATTTTGCGGGCTGTCATAGTAAATGAAGCCTAATGTGGATGAGAATCAAGGTTCACGAGCCTCAGTTGGAGAGTGAGTGTGGTGGTGTGTCTCTTTAATGAAGGTGACACGTGCATCCCTGGGAAACTGTCTTGGTTTTTGTAAGGCCTCTCAGCATCAGAAGCCATGAGAGGTTCTGCTTTGCATGGGGCAACCAGATCTCCTGGTTAGCAGGATACCAGCCCCCTTTCTGTAGCCTTTGGCTTGAAAGGATTATGACCATAACCCAGAGGGCAACGTCTGAATATTCCTTTGAGAGTGGGCCTCAATCCTCTAGCCCTTACTCGTGCAAGCAAGGGGGGACTCTTCTTGTGGATAAGGGTAACAGGATCTGGACCTTGGTGCAGCCCTTCCACAGTGGCAATTATTCTAGGTTGGGGATGTGGGAGAAAAGATGATGAGACCTAATTTTCAGGAGTGCTGAGCACCTGCAGCTCCCACAGACGTGAAGTGAAGTTGAGAGTGCTCAGCGGCTCTGGACAGCAGGCCCTGTGGGTGTAGTGAAGGGCACACTGGCGGAAAGGGCCTTGTTTTTCCTTTTTTAAAAACTCTTGCATCCTGCTGGCTTAAAACTCAGCAGCTATTTCGGCATGTATAGCAGGAAGAATTCTGTCCCAGTGTCACACCAGCCAAACTGGATTATGGTAATTCTGTTTTCAGTAGCATTCAGCAACCCACTGTGCTTCCAGGGCTGGGGAGAATTCCTTTTTTGAGATTTCCTTTGGACTGGGATAATGGGATTTTCATTTCATGCATGGGGCAGATTAAGGACAAGGCATCTGGACACTAAACAAAAGACATCCTGATGTGATGTTTCTCAACAAGGCGATTATCCATTGTGTGCCCATTACATCTAGGGAGCCCTGCGTGCCCCATATCTGACGGTAAATAATAACATTTGTAATCTCGGTGGAGAGCAGAGAAACACAATTAAAGTGCACTTCAGTTTCCAGCATGGTGTATTATCTTTAGTGAAGCGCTCTTGTATCGTGTCAGAGATGATAAGCAGGAATTGATGCTTTGTAGACTAATGGTCCAGCTTGTTGATTCCGCTCCAGAGAGCACTGGTTAAGGCTTGTCTACATGGGAAGTTCTTCCAGAATGAGGTAGAGGGTGAATGTAAAGGGCTATAGCTATTCCAAAATAACCATTGTGTAACTGCTGGTTCTGCAGTAGCTGTTCTGGTCAGTTTCCCGGTGTAGACACATCCTTCGATTCGGTGTGCTCTTAGCCAAGCGAGAACTCTTCTTGCCCTGCAACATGGTGAAATGTCTCCTCCCCAAAATAATCAATAAAAGAAAGAGCTGGAAAAAAGGAAGTTCGTGGGGTTCTGCCATGTAGATCCATGCTCATTACGTTGATGACTCCTGAACAGAAGTACTCATCTGGGGCCCCGGTTCTGCCGTTCCTATTCACAACGGGGAGAACGAGAGCTGGTCAAAAAACCGGGGAAGTTTTCCATGACAACTTTTGGTGTAAAATACATCCTCTGGGGGTTTTTTTTGTAGAAATTTGAACTTTTGTTGACAAATTGAAAGTCAGAAAATGTTGACAAGCTTTAGGTGATACCTCCAGCGGGGCTGCCCATTGGTACCACTGGATGTGAAGCGAGGCTGGCAGGATCAGATTCCTTACCAGTAAAATGTTGGCTTCTCTCAAACTCAGCCTGGCCTCTGAGCGTCAAGATGGCTTCTTTCTAAGTTACACATAATCTCCAGCAATTCCCCACACCTGCATGATGCTTTCGTCTTCAGATTACATCTCCCGGAATACCTTCACAGGCTCATTCCCTTCCAGCTTCTACAGCCCTGCACAAGAGTAACTGAGGACAGAATTTGGCTTCCTTAGCAATCCTGTTCAGGATGCTTGAGAAGAGATGGCATCCCGATCCCTGTCCTGTGGCTGTGTTGGTTTTGCAGGGCTACTCAAAGTAAAAAGGAGCAAGAAACTTATTTTTGTCACAGAAGTAACTACCTGTGAGCCCATACGCAGGGATCTGCTGAGTAAGTAAGTGTCATTTTTGCGTAGGCACTTTCCAGAGTAGAAAAGGGCTATAAAGCTCCTTAACAAACAGATGCCTTTAAAGGCATCATGACTGAGTTAAGCAGCAGGAATCCTGCTGTTCACGGCTGCTTCTCTCTGTGCAC